TTCCACGTTATTCAGGTTTTTACGGTTCGCTACGTTAACATTAGTCCCAGTTTAGTCCTAACCATAGTTTAAAGTAGACATTCTGCAGAACGTACTTTCAGGATTGGCAGCGAATGCCTGTGTTTGGCGTAGTTTCATATCAGCTTCACTCAGTGGCCCAGATGGCAATGGTGATCTCATTGATGAGTACATACTGTCGACGGATTCCATTGTTCGATCAGTCATCATCGAACCGGTAAAGTCACATGACTGAAATCAAAATTTTCATATTGAATCTTCTCCTCGACTGTTCAATCGTTTCTCTGTTTTGTTCACTTAGCCAATCAATCACTCTCAAAGGTCTTAGTTTGATTTGATATCAATCTCGCAAATGGCGTCCTCATGACAAGATACGTAAACATCAACTTGGCTGGATTGCAATAATAGTGTAAGAGAATGATCTCCTTAGCGATCTCTCTCACGGGAAATTATAAAATGCAATAAGGATGATTTCCTGTTCACTATGTTCTTTTTTGACCCCAAAACTGATCTCTAGGGAAGTTCCCAGGTTGTTACTAGAGACAATGAAATATGTCACAATGGATCAAAATCAAATGTATACCATTGTGGTGGATCAGACGGCGACCTTGCGAATATGCTGTTAGGCAGGCGACAATTGATATCACGGTTTATCCATCACAGTGCAGCTTTGGGAGGAAATATCAGAATTAATTCATTATAGACTACCCTACCTAAGGAGGTGATATCAGGCTCCCATGAATCGTAAACTATTCTCTTCGAAAGGACTATAGCGGGATAAATTCTCTGCTCTGCATGCTATAATTCGACTAGCAGACACACTTTTTCGCCACGAGAATGAAGTGCATCGATTAGAATTCGGAACGGATTTCATTGGGAACAGCCCATCGCCGCTAAGGCCTTAGAGGGCCGGACTAAAGAATGAGGTAAAATTATATTCATCAAAAGATTTCACTGCTAAATGTAGTTTATGGTGAGATCATACTTCGCATACTTTTTACTACTTTGTTCTTAATACGTTCTTGCGTTTCTTTTCCTCGTTATTTATGTATTTTAACTACAGACCATATCATTATGAAAAGCTAAGTGGTGATCAGAAGCAAACGACCGAACATATGTTAACATATGTCTATAACAAGGAAAAAAGAACTGACAAGAAGGGAAAACATGAATTGTTGGGACCTCGGCTAAGTAAAAGGGACAAGCAAATTTCATCTACAGTGACGAACTAACATTTAGAATTACGGCCTACATAGATTTAAAAGCATGCCTAAAATCACTGAAGTTAAAAAACCACATATCCGCCTTTCTAGAAATCAAAGAAGAAAGCCTTTTCTTCCTCTTCTTGATTTCAAACGTAAAAAATAGAGTAACAGCAAACCTGAAGCATTTCGTCGATTTCCTCGATGACCTGGTCGGCGGTCTGCGGAGGTGAATCGCTGCTGATGGAACCATGTGCGACAAGCTGGTGCATATCCATACGAGCTCTTAACTCTTCTTCATCGGAAAGCGATACGCCACCATCGTCACTTAACTGAAATGCTTATTTTACGACTACACAAAACAACGAGGATAAAACGACCAGCGATCCCTTAGGAAAGCGTTATCCAATCCACTTCATAAAGATATCTACGAAGTAGTTGAATGCATATTGTCCCATGTAATGACTTCCGCTATCCTACCGATGTACAACATCAGCGGTTTTTCGCTTTCCCTGACAATTTTGATATACGACTTATTATTAAGTCAGGAAAGATGATGGACTTGGTTTGTCCAGGGTGCAATATCGAACCAGTGGCTGTGTATTACAGGTCTCCTCTAACCACCAGTACACTACATGCGCCCAACTTACACTACATATGTATTTATATACACTTATTTGTATACAAACAAAATCTCTCTTTAGAAACACAAATAATTTAACAATACATGTCTTTCTTCTAAGATCGAGAAGCTCTTTATATGCACTAAAGATGAGTGTCCATTTCAAAAGCGAATTTTATGAATCAGAATGGAACAAACAGATTCCGAAAGAAAGGATTTCATAATGGCCATGGACAGACGTAACAGAGCTTATGGATGAGTGAGTGGCGCCATTAACATTGTCCGACGAGGAACGAATGCCGTTTTCTTCCAAAGGGTTTCAAAAGTGATTTTACAAGAACCTCAAAGTTTTCGATACTGAATAAATACAGCGAAATAGAAAAGTAACGAGGAACTCGTTGAGGTCATTAAAAGCTTTTACGAACATTTTAGAAGTATGTTATAAGAGTTTCTCATGATATAATGAGCGTATAAATGGGAGAGATTGAAAATCTCCATGGAGAAACCGAGTGGTTCACAAAACGAGGATTCAGGTCCTCCAGGAATAATCCGAGTAGTAAAGTGAGAGCATATTCGATTTCATAACCTTAACTAACTTCAAAAACCAAAGTATTTTGGTCCTATCTCAGTGGATAGTAAAATTTAACAGGCGATAATTCCCCTTATTCATTAGGCCTACAGTACTTTATCAGATTTCCAATATTTCCTCTAGAATTCCGATTTCCAAAGTCAACAAAAGATTTCAGGAAGAAAACCATGCTTTTGATCTAGTTAGAAGCCGAAGTCCCACGATAAGAAATCTGATTCCATCAATGCACTGAATTATGAGAGGCAAAGAGGTTGTCTTCGCGTCACTCCGTCAAACCCTCGAATCAATAGCGGTGTGTGAGAAGGCTGATGGAATGGAAAAGCTCTACTGCAAAAGCCCTGACTACGAAGTATTACGAAACATCACTAGTCCGAACGAATGGTTCCCACAACGCCTATATGATGGTGACGATGATGATAAAAGAGACTACAAGTGAAAGGGGGTACACCTCTGGCATTCGAAAACCATAGAAGAATCCCCTATGAGTAAGCTGCATATCGATTTTTAGCAAGGAATGGCGTCCTCAGTGACTTTCCAATGGTGGATACCAACATAAATCGGCTTCTCATTTCATAATTGGAGAAATTTATATTAGGCAATAGATTGACACTTGATAGTACGACGTTTTACCAAGGTGAGTGTAAGTGCAGCGATGACATGTGGTTCTTTGTTTACCTCCGAAAACTGGACAAACCAAGCCTTCCATCTCCCAGGAGTCGGCGCACGGCAGATGTAGTTGAATACGGATCTGCTTTACAAAGTGATTTGGACCTAGACCAAATTATGTACCAAATCGATGCTAACGTCTGCCAAACAAGTCAGATACCAAAGTGGTGAGCCCAGTGGAATCGAGGACTTAGTTTGTCCAAAAGATGGGATCGAACAAAGAAGGTGTGTATTGCAGCCCACCTCTAATCACTGCTTTCTTCTTTCAATCACTTGTGACAGTATGAATTTTGCATCATACACTCTGAGTTCGGTTATGTGTAAAACGCATTGTAAAATTGAAATTTAAAATGAAATTAAGAGCTTAATCTTAGTTCTCTTAGTTCTTTATGTTTCCTATTAGTGTTTTAGTTAATAAGCAGGTGTTTTTTCTTCAGTAATAATGGTTTCGGAAAGGCGCGTGGGGTGCAGTGGTCGGAGGCGCCCTGCAATACACACGTGGAATCGATCCGCACGCCTATCGCCCACCAAGCCTTCCACCTCTCATAGGTCGGCGAATTGGTGCCAGACATGTCTGGGAGGATAGCAGCACTGGCTCGATATATCGGTAGGTCACCGCGAGTTACTGTAAAAGCCAGATATGCATTCAATCACCTCCAACGGTGCTTAGTGAAGTGGAATGGCGCATCCCTCATGGATTGATCAAAGCCAAGAGCTTTCATCCTTTTTTAAATGGTGGTTTCGTTTAAATTCTAGAACAAATTTCATGCTCTATACCACTGTAGTCAGTGATCTACAGCAAGAAAGAACTACAAAAAACCCTTGGCTCAACGCTCGAAATGATGTGAGGGATCGTTGTCGAGTTCGGGATGTGGCGTGTTTGGAAATTAATTAATATCGAATGAGTGGGTTGCATGGGAAAAGTTCATTTCTATAAAAACAATTACGACACTTTTTATTTGTTCTAAATTGCCCAATTTATCTCTACCTATGCAAAATTCCCCGACTTTTTTTTCCCTTATTCTCACTAGATAATCCGCATGGCATAGGAAAATATACCATACTCCCGTGGGTAGCAATGCCATAATTTCATACATTACTTTGTTTGTGAATATCTGTTCATTTTTAGTATAGGTCAAGAATAGAATCAATGAAATCGATATTGATTGAAGAGTTGCACTGAGTTCGAACCAGTGTCAATCCCCAAAACGACTGGTGATCGATGATTGTCGATCACAAATGATCACGAAAAGGTCGTATAATTACAGTACATCGATAACGTAATAACTGGTAAGATAAGGACCTTTCTCTCCTTCAGATCCAATGCCGGCATCATACGACGTCGAATCGCCGACTTATCAAAATCGAGTGGTTGAATGTTTCCAAAACTGCAAGTCAACGTCCACCAGGTCCTTTAATAAACAAAAAATGAATGACAGATGAAAGAACTCATAAGAAAGAAAACTGGACGCAATTGTCCTACAGCCAGACTGGCAAGAACTGATGGGAACTGTAGCGCAGCAATGTTAGGAGGCAGTGTAGTAGTTGTGTTAAAAAAAAGTTGTTCATTTGTTCATTCATTATGATCAGCGCTAATATGCTAATATTACTTGTTATGCTTTGTCAATAATGCCCTCGTAACCGTCTTTTGTGTCTGAAAATGTTAGTTAGTTTTCCATACTTCAAAACATTGAAGCTTGCAGACTTCGCCCTTTTACATTTATGCATGTGTTTTATTTATTATGCACATATTTATATATGCCAGTATTTTCTCTCATTACGGACTTTCTATTAACCTTTCTTGTTTAGCAAACAAAAGGTGTTATTTTATTCCTTTATTTACGCACATCTCCCAACGGTTTACCGCATCATCGCGGCTGGGAGGTGTCGGAGTATAATGTACAGGAGGGAGGATTCGACACCATGGCAGGGCCTCCCAAGCTGAAAAGGAGTCCGGTGTTTCCATTAGGAAGTCTAGCTAAGAGTAAGCCAATACCAGGATCCACCACCGTCCTGGTATCAAAGTCGCATGGTGGCAAATCACCCTCTGATAGACAAGGGCCGTAGCTGCCTGTCGTGGTGACGACCTGGGGCAGACCTTGGCCAGGTTGTCCTCGGGATTCCAAGGAATTACAATGGCTTAACCAGCAAATCTCCGAGAAATGGTGATTATGCTGGGGTCGGCACAACTAGTGAGGACGGACCGTTCAAGTATCAAGTTCAAGTATTTACGCACGAGCTGACGTTTCGGCGGATTTCGCCATGCTCATAGCCTAGAAAGGTCGAGTCGACCGTAACCGACCCAGTCAAACCTCCATAACCAAACAAAGAAAATGCTAAGCCAAGACGCAAATCACATTGAACATGGAATAGCTTCTTTGCACACTCACCGCTTTCTATGAGTTCTCCACTGAATATATGACGTGCAGACCAACCCCATAGAGCTCACATGGAAGCGTAATGTGCCCCTCCCATTAGAGTAAGAAGCTTAAATACTGCTCAATACCACGCGCGATTTTGAGGTATTCCTCCCTGCAGTTCATTTTCGGAATCTTTGAATTAATCCAGAATGCCTCGAGAGTCAGTATTTTCTCATCCTAATTTGTACTTGTATCGAATTTGAGCCAGCGAAGCAAAAACAGAAAGCAGAGTAGATCCGAGCAGTTTCGTATGTACGAATGCGAACTTGGAGATAATATTGTGGACCGAAACGACACATAATACTGTGAATGTTCAAAAAATTGGCGTACGGAGCTTTAACTCAATCCCCATACTCAAGTGACCCTAGTCAAACAACCAAAATTCCTTCAAGCAACTCTAAGCTTCAAAAATCCTGGATAAACAAGTCAGGCATAAAACATCTTTTCGGAATTTCGTAGGTCTCGAAAGCATACAGTTTAAGATGCACAAAGTAGATCAGCTCGTACCTTGTTGAGAGAAATGTGTAGATTCTAATGGCTATTTTTTCTCTACCAATAAATTTTTCTATGACATGACGAATATGTACCTTAACTTATAGACCAAAACCGACAGTATTTTTTGAAAATTTTCATTATTTGATGTTAAATGAAAAGAAGACCACTGCACTCAAAAGACCTTTGTGATGTACAACGCTACATTTTGGGAAAACCTTGGACGGGTAGTGTATATAATAAGAAATAACTGTAAGGCCTTATGATTTTCAATAGAAAGCCTCCATCTATGAAAGTATGCCAATTTAACAAGTAACATTCCACTACGTGATTTGAGATTTTTCATAATAGATCTCCCACATGTCTTTTTCCTTCCGCTAGCAAAAAATCGTAGCCGTTTTGCATCATACAATGTCATTAACGTTGTCATTAAAACCCGATCAGCTAACTCAGCGATGACAATCAAGCAACTGCTGATAAATTTTTCTTACATGTTCTACTTTAATCTAAGATCTAATCTTTTTTGGTACCAATGAGCCCAGTTCAGTCTTAAGACTCTGTAACTTGGCGAACTCTCCAGCTTTAAACAATTACAGTTGTTTGATTTAAGCGCAAGACCCATGTCTGAAGAGTAACAAACTTCGCCCTTTTACAGACGATGGAAAACAATTTACGAGTGTTGTAACATAAATATTTTTTGTGTAGACTAAAAACAGCATTTTACCACCCGATACCACATATTCTGCAGACCTCGGGATTTCTTAAGTTCCTCTAGCTATTCTTCATCCACGAAAGTCTTCCGGTTTGAGGACCAGCTGAGGATTTTGTCTTCTTCTGTCATCTCGTGGATGTCGTTTTAAATACTATCCTCTTTCTCTCTCTTTCTCTCTGGAATCCTGATGTAGTTGCACTAGAGCGCTACCAGTTCATCACTATAGGCAGTCACAGGCATTTATGGATCGCAGGTAGTTTCCCTGAGAACAATTCTTTGTTTATACATCACACCAGGTGCGGAGTCCGACTCAATGTGCCATATGGCAGTTTGTCTCTCAATGTCTGTAAAGAATGAATCTATAACCTAATCCCATTGAAAACCTCAGTGTATGTGTACTGGTGAAACTCCATTCATTTCAACTCCGGTATTCTTCAAAGTGGAGCAGAACCTCCTTCAATCTTTCGAAGAAGCCGTCTCTTCTTTGTGAAAACGGAAATGGATGGTACATTGGGCAGAAGCAGAGACAACAAAACAATTAGATTTGAAAAGTGCGAGCGCCAGGGCACCACTGTTTCCACTGAATACTGGCGGCGTTACAGATTCGTTATGTCCCTATTCTATATGGCCTCCACGCATGTGTGCCCAATCAATGAAAATAACAGAATAGCAGTAGAAGAGAGACACCTAGAATAGAGTTGGATGGCATGTCATAGAACAACGGCTATAGAGTTATGAGTAAACGTTCGTTTTCCCACTGAAGAACACTAGAAGTAGACACAAATCGTTTTATGAACGAAAAGATTATGAAAGATTTCAAACTTCCTTGCCACTGAACGCATTAGGTTTTAACGCATAAGGACGTTGTGATTCAGCCAAGTTATGGTAGGAGGAGCTTCTTCTTCTTGTTTACAAGGTACTTCTTGTTCCTCTTGCTCCGTATTGAGTAACTAACGTATTCTTGACTAATGAGGTCCACTTTCCCAAAAATTCTTCCCATTAATCACAGTTGGCTCGTCTCGCGTAATTCGGTTATTTGTTCCGCTCCCAAAGCGCGCTTATGCCTCGTTATGAAGAAATCGACTCCACTCAGTTAGCTACTTAGATAACCCTTCTTATCTATACGAGCGTTAGCCCTTCCACAAATCATTTCATTCGATTGCAACCGTCATTAGTATAGTCAAGTTCGGATGTCACGGGGTCGAGTGACCTGACTGTCCCTATTGTCTTCTCTCCTCACCATTTTGAAAGAGAATTTCTGAAATTCCTCCAAAGAATTCCGAAATAGCCGTGAGGTATGGCGTTCCCAGTTCTTTGACACGGGTCGGCACTTGGAGATGGAAGTCTGATGTCTTGCAACTAAGGGTTTTCCAGGACGGTAGCGATCGCTACGACCAATCGACTGAGCAATGGAAAATGATTTAACAAACCAAAACTCCAAAGTATTTACTTACAAATAAAAAAGTTATGCACCAAAGAGATGCACACAAAGTTATTTTGTTCTACAGTCCCTTTAAAGAATCCAAGATAAAGGGAGGAACCACTAATTCTATGATCCCGTTGTAGTGCTTCAGCTAATCTACGATTTGCAACAATCCCTCTTCTCCTTTAGAGAAAGTTTAAACAAAAAATGATGAAACACAAACTGATGAATTCAAAAAATAGGAAAAAGAAACTAACTGGCTCTCAGCCATTATTTCATCCTGTGATCGTACTTGAACTGGAGCGATATCCTCAGTATTCACATCGGGGTTCTTTAAACATGAACTTATTCTTTCATCAAAATTACCAACAAGGTCCTAAAAATTCAGTTCTTTAGTTCATGAACAGTTCATGATATGTCCAAAAAAGAAATATGGAAAACGCGATTGGCACCTCTAAAGAGCTTGAGAGATCCTCATGTAGTCGAGCTTCTTCCCCTGACGATACCTGATTACTCTCGTCTTCGCTGCAACAGGTCTTCATCGGAAAAAATTTAAAGCGGACATATGAACACTGCTCTAAAGCTGAAATTGATGTCTAGACTACCCTATATGAGAAAAGAACTTTTGGACGCTCTGTCCCGAATTGTCTTAAGGACCAAATTATTGCCACTTGACTCAAATTACAAGTTGGCACAGAAATAAACAAATAGCGCATTTTAATGAAGCCTTCGAAAACCAATGATCAAAAACAATAAAGGAAATTTATTAGCAATATTATCAGCTACATAAAGTTTTGGAGATAGGGAAGGTTGACTCCGATCTTCTTGATGCAACAGGTGTCGATATCAAATGACTGAAAATATCAGCGACAAGGTCCCTCGAAGGCGACTAACAAAGGTGCACTTGAGCTATTGCAACTACTGCCTACACTAAATATCACACAGCATCCGATAATGTCGTTTAAAATACAACTACAACAGACTAACAACAAACAACAGGATAATCGTGACACTGACTTCTCTCTAATCACAGCTTCCAGTTAAATTGACGACTGCACAGCTTCCGATTACATCGTCAAACAGGGTACTACTAACGACCATTCTCAGACAAAGCGGAGACTGCAAACTTGAAGGTAGAGATTCCTTCGTTAAGTAAGGGGAACTTGACACGGCTAGTTGTTAAGCTACGCAGTAATCTGCAAAGAGCGAAAGCGGAGTTTATAAACGAAGTAAAGTAGAAAATGTATTACTTCCACTAAGCATTGGGATTCAGGTGACGAGCTAAACTTTTATGCCATGTAAAATTGACATATACTCTTCGTACAAAATCATTTTATATGAGGTGATCAGTAATTTTCAGAAAATCCACTGCAACAAGCCATCCATGAGTATATATGGAACATCCTTTCAAAAACGGTAAAACAAAAGACTTCACGAAAAGAACAAGTGTGACGTTTTTCATCACACTCAAGTCGACGGAACACACTGGCAGCTTTAGCTCATGAGAGAACAGTTGGTATGTTTAAATTGTACTTGCATCGTTAACTTCATAACTTAAAAGATTATAGGTGAAAGAGGTAGTAAGAACAGAAAAGACAAAAAGTTGTTCGTTAACCAATCCTTGATGGATTTACCATCCATCCGACTTCATTACGCACCCTAGAAAGAACTGCATGCATATCTGGTCTATACAATGATTAGGGTTGACCTGACCAAGCACCGAGTCAGCGTTTTTTTTTTAATCTTCACAGACTAATCTACTGCCAATATGAAAACTTCCAAGAGTTCTTCTTGCCCAGGACGTGGATTCGAACTAACAATCATGGATGCACCACAAGGCATCTCTAACCACTGCGTTACACTGTATTACATGTCGTTCTTAAAGATGGTAGGATTTTTTGTTTAGTCTGTTTAAAAAAAATAGCAAGCAGAAAGCAAAAACGAACAACGGATGTCAGCACTTCACAATCATATCCCGCCAATTTCTCAGTTGGTTTATGAATTTCCACCAATTCTTTTTCCTTACAGAAAACCTTGGAGCACTACAAAAAACAAAGTGATAATGAGTCTCCTTTTCCACTGTCACTAACTTTCTCAAGAAAAAAGAGGGTAGAAATGAAATTGGAAACACAAGATGAAGGAAACGAAGTCAAAGACCAATTTTAAAAAAGTGAAAAACAGACGAAAAGGAGAAAAAACAAGGACGGAAACAGGAGGGTAGCGGTAATGAAGAGTAAACGGGCAACCAGTAGCAGCTACCGTAATAGCAACTGCCAATCAATAACTACTTAAAACTTTTCAGTTTGCAGGTTTTTTAAATCACAAGTCAATATCGGAGACTACTAAACTCCCGAGAGTGTTATGTAAATAATAGAAAAATCAAGCAACTCATTTGAACCAGACACTACTGCGTTTTTCAAGAATCCCGAAATATCACAAAGCTTTACACCACAGATATGACAGATGTCCAGAATTTATTTCAGGAAGACTTAATCTTGGTATATTTCCTAACGCGATCAAATGTTAATGGAAAGCATCTGTGCGTACTTAATCACCAAGGTTAGTAAACGCTATGATTTTAATTAAGGAAGGATTTTAGTATTCATCGGATATCAATCACATACTAATATTCATTAGATTGGCATAGATTATTCGTTATTTAGTCCTTAATCATCCTCCGTCGACAACATCTGTATGCAGAGGACCGATGAACAACAAATAATTCCCAAAAATACAAAAAGGTACGTAAAAGAGGACCATACAACCAACTGCCAACTCTACAGTCAAGTGGTGAGGTTTAACCATGGTTATAGTTTGTTGGGTTCTTTTTGAATGGCCATGAAATCTATTTGGTGCACACGGGACCATAAACTTCAACCTATGAGCTTCCCAGTCACCACTAAGGTGCAGGTTTGATGGGCAGCCACAAACTTCATCAAACCCAAACGAAAATTCATAAGTTTGATCAAGCAGGTACGGATTCGATTTTTCACACGCTCCTCAAAAACTGGTAGGAAACGACAAATAAAAGAAGTACCATGAGCAACATGACATGTGAGGTCGGGTGACCAATGTCCAGATATGAAAAAGATATAAGTCAATTTGGAACCGCAAAGGCAGAGATCCTTTCCGTGAGCCCATCTTTGATTCGGTAGGAAGCATATGTTCCATTTTGGCCCACGTTTAATCCCCTACCCAATACATAAGCTAGACCACTTAACCGCCGGCCTAATAGCGTTGTTCGCCTCCCATCATGCAAATCCATGAAGAAACAGTGTATGAAGCGCTATCCTAACCAAACCAGCATAACTTCGTTGGGTTCAGTTATAACAAAAAACGTGATTGAGCTTCCAGAAAAAATCAGAAAGAATCACATAGAATCAGTTCACCTCAGAAAAGCCCTCTCATTCTTCCCGTATTCATTCTCTCCTCAATGTGAGACAATCGTGTTCTTACACTGTCCTACGTCGACAAAGTCCTGAACATATGGCTGAGGCGTGTAAACTAGCCGCTGTTACGACGAAGAGATGACAAATACACCACATGTTCGAGAACTAGGACTTTTGCAACGTTTAAGAGTCTAATAAATAGTAAAATAAGTGATATTATCAACTACAAATTTGGGAAACCACACAAGACATCTTGTGCCTCTCGCTCATTTGAATTTGGAAAACCAAAAGATCGGTGAGGAATCTACGAGCTTTCAATTTGGAATGGGCGTTGTCATTAAAAGAAATAGAAAAGGAACCAAGATTCCAAATTTTTAATGGTAATTCAGAACTTTCGTTTTAAGGAGTACCTTACTTCTACTGGAAAACTCAACGAAACATCATCGTCTTAGATCCTAACAAAGGCGAAACCCAAACATAAAAAGTTAGACACATAAAATCGTCATTATTTCTGCTATTTTTGTATTCTTGAAAAAACTGGTCTCATAAAGAAAGAGAATATTTTTTCCCGTTTGCAGTTCCGCCCACAGCATTACAAGTGTCTTCAATGATCAAATGGTACATTACATAAAGCTGAATAGAAATGAACGTTACCACCTCTCTAAAGCAGAACAAACTCTTTAGTCAGCGAAGATTTATGAGATCGGGAAATGAGGCAAAATAGGTCGTCCACAGAAAAAGCAACTCAACTTTAACAACACATGTAAAGGATAAATAAAGGGCAAAACTCCCGGCGTTGTTAAATCCCTGAGAGATAGACCATGCATTCGACTTCATTACGTATCATTGGAAGTGAATGAATGCATACCTAGCCTTCACAATAACTCGCGGTAGTCTACCGATATATCGAGGCAGTGCTGATATCATTCCGGACAGATAGCGTACCAATTCGCCGACCCCGAAAGAATAAAAGGCTTGGTGAGCTTGGTGCGCCAGGATCGAACCCATGTGTATTGCAGGGCGCTTCCGATCACTGCGCTACACGTGCCCTTCATAACACATAATAGACAAGTAATTAACTTTTATGATCTTTTCACAAGAAAACGACGCTGTTAGACAATGTGATGCTAAAAAATCCCCTTTTAATCAAACGAAAAACATAGTTAAGGGCTGCTCTAGAAAATATTGGTGAGGAATGTTGTGATGAATTTGAAAGTCCTCTACTGCGAGCCGATTGCCCTATCACTGGCTATGGCATTTCAAATACATTGAGCTTTAAAAAGCATCAGTCAACTGATTTTTATTAAAAGAATAAAAAACATGGTAATTCTCATTATCCATGCAAATTCAATTAAACTACGGCAAGCAAGAAATTCCTGGAAATACTGTACTGAGCCGACATCCGCTTAAACTCGGCGTGAGTAATCAATAAATCTGAGTAACTATAGCATAATTTAATGAATCAATTCTGTTGTAACCTCAACAACCTAAAGAAGTGTGATTACTGAATGAGACACCTCTCTATTTCTCGTATCCTATCGGCTATCTCTTCTCAACTTCTTCTCAAGATTAAACTCATGGGAAATTAATTGTTCCAATGATTTGATAAAGCGAAATTTACTACTGCTGTCTTCACTACCAACAATAATTGCCAAGATGCTGAACTAACGAAAGTAGGATAATTTCATAACCATCTCTTCAATTCAGTTCCCGTTACGATCAACATTGAGGCGTCATCAAACGCCTTACTACTCTAAAACGGTATATCATTTCGCTATGTAAAAACCGTTCCCAACAGTTTAGCACCTCATCGTGGCTGGGAGGCGTTCTTGGGTGTCGTGTTGCGATGTACAACAGGAGAATTCATCCACTGGTAGGGTCTCCCAAGCTGAGAAAGTCCGGCGTCTCCATCAGGAAGCCTAGCTAAAAGTAAACCAACACCCAGGATCCACCGCCGTCGTGGTATCAAACTAGTCGCATGGTGACAAATCTTCCTCTAATCCACAAGCGCAGCGATTGCCTGTGGTGGTGACGACGTGGGATAGACTTCGGCCAGGCTGATTTTGGAATTCCTGGGAACCACAATGGATAAACAAGCAAAACTCCGAAGAAATAGAGAATATGCAGCGCAATCAGTGAGGACGGGCGATCCA